GTTCTTGTCTATCCCTGTTATATCTAGATTGAATTTGTAAGTATGGCCACCAGTCTATGGGTATTCTTTGTTCTTCCAACTCTTCTCTTAATTTAAGATTTCCTTGGTTGTCTAATAATTCTTTATATCTAATCATCTTTTTTTATCTAATGTGTTAGGGTAAATCACTGCCTCCATCGGCGAAAACCAATTTGGAATTTTCCTATAATGTCTTTTTTTTTATTTTTTCCTATATCCGAATCAATGCTCCTCTTATCTGATGTTGCTGGAAATATGTATATGTTTTCTTCTGTTTCCCCCATAGAAATGCGTGCCAGCCCGCCTGTAGGTCGTGTCCTTCAATCATTAATATCCTTTCGTTATCTAAGTTTATCCAGTCTTTGATCCATAATAACCCTGCTGCATAGTAATAAATTTCCCATTTTGGGAGCCCAAGACCGCCTCTACTTTTACTATCTTGTAGCGTTTTCATATTTATCCTAGCTTTTTTGCCCCCCCCCCAAATGAATTTATTTATTATTTTATCCAATTCTTCAAAAAAAAAATTCTCTAATTGTATCGGGACTGTTTGAAATAAATACAATAATCTTGGTAGTATATTCATTTTTATCAATGCAATCCTACCTAATAATGATAATTGGAGTTTCCCCCAGGTCTCAAGGTCTTTTTTCATTTTTAGTATCAATTTTGTGTAATTGTCTTCTTTTATTGAGGAACACCTTGTAGTTAGCCAAATTCCTAAATATTTAATCTTTTTCGCAACTTGTAATTCCAAATTCTCTTCCAATTTCCTTTTCTGTTTGTCGGTTAAATTTTTCACTAACATTTTAGTCTTTTCTCTATTAATTTTTAGTCCTGCCACCGTTCCATATTTTTCTATTTCATCCATCAAAATATTTCCTCTCTCTATAGGTTCCTCAATAAAGAAGACCAGGTCATCAGCAAATGCCTGTATCTTATACTCTTCTGTTTTAACTTGTACCCCTTTTATTTCTTTATTCGCTCTAATTTGAACTAATAATACTTCAAGAGTCAAGATGAAAAATAGAGGTGAAATTGGGCATCCCTGTCTTACCCCCTTGTTTATTTCAAAGCTTTTTGTGTTCTCTCCATTAATTATCACACTAGCCCTCTGAATTCTGTATATTGCCTTTATTATGTTACTGAATTTCTCTCCAAATTTCATGTCCTCAATCTGTTGGAACATAAATTGCCAACTGAGGCTATCAAATGCTTTCTGCGCATCTAAGAAGATCAAAGCTGCCTGTTTTCCTGGGTGTGCTTCGTAATACTCTAAGACATTTAACACCATTCTAATATTGTTTCTAATTTGTCTTTTGGGTAAAAAACCATTTTGGTCTGGATGTATTATATCCTGTAAAATTAACTTTAATCTTTCAGCCATTATGGTAGTGCGCAAAGTCTTTTTCTTAAGGGAGACTTTTACTGCCACTTGGGGTTTTAACATGCTCCAATGGGTCAACACGCAACCCAATAGGGTGCACGGTCTTAACTTCCTGCTTCCCACCTCATTTGCTGCAAGCAAACTATTACAGTTTCCCATGATTCTCAGGGGGTTTCTTGGACCTTTCCTTTGGTTCGGGGCGTGAATAGGCTTCTCCTATTCTATCCTCCCTCTCCTATATGAGAATCCCAGATGAGTGTCACCAGAAAACGTTTCACCAACCACTCTATATTTCCACCTTGGTGACCCAAATGATGCTGTCACTGCCCACTCATGGTGCCTGGAGTTGTGGGGGTCTGGATGGGAGACATGTTTTGACTGAACCCTGGCAAGATCAAAAGGACTTAAGTGCATAGTGCTTCAAGATCTGAAACTTTAACATCTTTAGTTGTGGATGGGCTTGCATTACCCCAGACAGAACCAGTGCACAACTTGAGAGATCTCCTGGACTCATGACTCCTGCTTAAAAAGCAAGTGACAGTTGCAGTTAGAAGCTTTGCATAACTCCATATTCTGTGCCAGTTGAAACTTTTCTCAGATTGAGGATCCGTATGCTCAGGCATTCAAGATGTCAGTCTCATGCTTGGACTATTGTATGCCTGAAGAGTATTTGGAAGCTACAACTGGTGCAGACTGCAGCAGCATGGGCAGTTCTTGGGGCCTCTAGGGTGGCCCATGTTATATTGCTCTTCCATGAGCCACATTGGCTGCCAGGTTTGCTTCCAGGTGCAATTCAGTGTTGGTTATTGCCTTTAAAGCCCTTTATTGTGTACAGTAGGTCCAGGTAATCTGAAGAATCATCTCATCCCAATGGAATTAGCCTGCCCCACCTGTGCCGGAAGAAGAAGCATGTGGACCCCATCGGTCAAGGAATTTCTACTATTGGGGCCCAGGAGATCATTTTCTTCCCTTTGGAACATCAAATCCCACCAAAGTGAAATCTGCACCCACCCTGCTGACCTTTTAGAAGGACTTGAAGACCTGGCTCTGCAGTTAGTCTAGGACCCCACCCAGAGTGCACCATTCTGGAGGTGGCTATTGGATTAAGAAAAGCCCCACCCCTCCTCCCTTCTTTTAACTGTACAGGTAGTCCCTGACATATAACCCCAATTGAGCACAAAATTTCTATTGCAAGGCAGTTATTAAGTGAGTTTTGTCCCATTTTATAACTTTTTGGCACAGATTACGTGAATCACTGCAGTTTAGTGAATCATGCAGTTGTTAAGAGAAAGTCTGTCTTCACTCTTGACTTTGCTTGTGGAATGCTGGCTGGGAAGGTTACAAATGGTGATCACAGGACTTCAGGCAGTGCAACTGTCATAAGTACTTGCCAGTTGCCAAGGGTCCAAATTTTGATCACATGACCATGGGGATGCTGCTAGTTGTTAGTGTGAACATTGATGATGTCACTTTTTTCAGTGGCATTATAATTTTGAACAGTCACTAAACGAATGATTAAGTTGAGGACTACCTGTATTTATTATTGTTATTATTTATTGTTTTATCATTTTAATGCCTGCCAGTTCTAATGTTTGTAAACCGTCTAGAGTCATCTCTAGATGATATGGGCAGTACATAAATCAAATAATTTAACATTTTAACTTAAATCTACATTGGCTCTTTATTTTAATGGCTTGATCAACTTATTAATTTATTTGCTTTTAATTTTAAAATCTTAGATAAAAGTTTCTTAAATATGAATTGAAAATATTTGTACATAAAATTGTATTAGAGAATTTTAAAAGTAAAATTTTAATTTTCATTTAGATTTTACTGTTCATGGGATTTTTCTGTATAAAATAAGTCATTTATGTTTTTATTTCATTGAACTTGACCCCACCTGTAGAAATAGTCTCTAGTAATTAGACAAAAGTCAGTAGGGTTATTAACCCAAAAAGCTGGATGGAACATTCTGATTTTAAAATAACATCTTTTTGATTACTACTTGCTTGAGAATAAAACAAACTAAGGGTTTGCTATTCTGATGGTCTGCTTAAAAAACTTCTAATAAAATCTGGCCACCTACAGTGAAAATGTTTCCTAGAGCTTCCAGATATGCTGGAAAGGCAAGTACTGTATTACTATCTCTAGTTAACAAATTGTGAAAATCTGGATCGTTGGCCTGAACATCAGATCATTTATGCTAAGATTCACTAAATCTAAATGTTTCTGGGCCTAAAAGTATATTTTCAGAACTTCCTCAACATTCTATATTTGTGCAATTCTCTTGAAACAGTAAGGTAGGCACTAAAACTCACTCTTTAATGTAATTTGGTTCAATATTTTCTCATGGACCTAATACTATTATTTTTTAATTGCCCTTGAAGAATTATCGCTTTTTTCTAAGATTAAATAAAAACCCTAACTCTTTTTTCAAATTAAACATTAACAAATTTAAAACTGTAATCCTTTCTTTCAAACATGAGCATGAGCTTTGTTACAACTGAATTCAGATGAAGCTTTTTCCAAAAAACAATAAGTTAAGGAAGGTAGAAAATGGGAATTTATTTTGAAGACCAAACCTGAGCTGATCTCAATCCTTCTGCAAGAAATGTCTTCCTGGTTATTCAAATATTCTTAATTTATCCAAGAATTTAGGGAGAATACTATTATTAAGTAATTAGGACCTAGAAGTTCTACCAGTAGATCAAGATTAATCTTTTGCCCATTCCTTCCACATGTAAATATTTTATAGGCATTTCTCTCTATAAATACAGTATTATTATATTCTGAGCTTGTCCAGAGTTGCTATGTTAGGGAGATGGGCAGCATGGAAATCCAATAAATATAATAAATATAAAAAATGTGCAAAATGCATAATGTGCAAAGGCTAACTGTAAGAATAACAAGGGTACTATTAATATTCTCAATGGTAAGGTACATTATTATATTTTAGTATGCTGCTATCAAAATGTACTACACTACTTGGTATACTATTATTTAACTAATATATGAAGTAGTGTCAGTGGGAAACATGGCTTCCTGCTGAAAACATTCATCCACTGTTATACCTGAAAAATGGCTTCAACGCTCCCACTTAAGTTCATTTTAAGTTTCAAAAGATTTCTTGGAGTAGGTTTAAATCGTTATACACAGGAGATGTTTGCCAGAAGTGCATTTGTCAAAATATTAAAATCATCTCACATTGATATTCCTAAGGAAATACAGATTTTTTTTGTTAATAATGCAATTTTTACTCTGGTTTGTTTCATGCCATTTGAACTAGCTTAACTGAGCAGCAATGCTTCCTTAGGCCACAATAGTATATCTGAAACCATAATATTCCTGCACTTCTTATAACTACATACTCAAGTGTTCACTCTTCATATATTAATCCTAGCACAATGTATTCAAGACTACATTAACATTTTGATGGAATTAAAATCCAAGGAGCAATTTTACCAGGACAGAATGAGATTAATTGGGAACATACTAAAAAAAATTCAAGAGAAAGAATTGCACAATCAATTATAAATTAAAGAATTGCCTCTATCAAATGATTGATCTTTAGTGCATTAGTGCTACCATGATACAGGAATTTTATTTTAAAATTATAAAAACAATTTGAATTTTCAAGCACACATTTTTGTTCCTATACAAGCTCTTACAAACATTTGAAGTTATTTAAGAATTTCCCCACTTATGCTTATAACATTCTCAACTATTTTTGATTGAAGAAAAAAAAATCATACAACAATGGACATTGAACATACCCAATACTACTTGTGTTATTGAAGCATTCCATTAATTTTTTATAACATGTCCCTTGTATTGGACACAGTTGCTTCTTTCAAAAGTGAAGCAAGAACATTTTTATATCTGTCTAGTACTATCTGAGCAGAAGGTCTTTCATATGCATTTTTTTTACATGCTGCATGTATACTGAATAAGTGAAATCTGACAAGATCACTTCCATCGACATCTCCCAAAAGAAAGTTAGAAACATCAGGGATTTTCCATATGTCTACCATTTCATTATAGGGAGGCATGAGATGGTCTTCAAAAGGTACTTCTTTTCCATATGGCCATAGCTGCTCAGGAGCAACCCATTCACCTTCCAGTTCCCGATGACCACACTTGATCAATTCACCAGCCCTCCTATTCAAGAGGGGCAAGGCATCCAAGTCATTCACAACCACATGAAAGCTGCTGGTCAATAAGTATTGCGACAGTGTTTTATTTAGATCATTGGAGTCACACATAACAAAAGTGCCAAGGGGGTTGTTGTGTAAAAAATGGATAATGCTCACATAGCCTATGGCAAGCAGAAATCTGTTATGCCATGTATTGTAATTTTTATATTTTGGCAGGTTCAATATCTCATTAACATTTTTCAAGGATCCAAATGGGTGATACTCCGTAAGAATCATGAACTCCTCTTCACAAAATCCAAGGAGTTTGACCACATGCTTGCTTTGTAACTTTTTTAGTGTCTGAAGCCCATGAATAAAGTCTTCTTGTAACTCTGGCACAGTTAGCTGGGAAAGTGCCACTTTGTTTTCTTTCCACTCAGAAAGAAAAACCTAGAAAGAAAAGGGGAGAGGAAGAGAAATATGCATATGTATCTCACACATACAGCCACTAATGTTCACTATTATTTAAACATGCTATTCATTTTATGAGTTGCTGGGATCCACACCTTTACTAAGCATCCAGTTATAACAAAAGCCACTTATATGTCATTATTTCAAAACAGATCATGCATAAGAGAAAACTAGTCAGCAGCATTTAAGTAAATTTGTGTTGCTTACAAAGATGGGTCAAATCCATCTATAATCATATCTATAAACAGATATGGAGTGTTTTCTATAAATGAACAAGAATTTTTTTTATTACAGTATATATACATACATCTCTTCCCAGGTTTTATTTGATAGAGATTGGTATATTTCTAAATATCTAATTGTCTCCTTCCAAATGTTAGCTTAGAATATGTTTCTGTCTTTATGAAATGGGTGGGTTTTGCTTACAGCTCAGCTCAGTCAATACTCAGTGTCTATAAAGCTAAGAAACTTGAAAGGATTCCACTGAGCTCTTCTTTTCCCAAGTAAGTGGAAAGAAAAGATGGAAAAAGCAGCTGGGAATTAAAATTCAACTGTTTTCTAATCCAGGCCATGCCCAACTTTGACCTTCAAAGAGGAGAGTTCATTTATAAATCTACTAATCAGTGCTAATTAGATGTAAATAACACAAGAAAAATTAGTAAATACCATGTCTATGCCTTATCTCAACAAAAACATTTTGTTTAGAAATAAATACTTCAGTAAATGTAAATTACTATATTATAAACACTTGTTTATAAATGTGTATTTATTTTTAGACATCATCCACATTCCTCTGGAATCATTAGCATTTACTTACAAAACAATTTCATTTTAGAGTGAAACAGAAATGCGTGTAGCATGTTATTTAGAACTTTTTCTAATAGAAATATTAAGAAAATCAATTTCTTCAGCAGCATCTTCATGAGGGAAAGGGGAAGTGACCAAAGTAATGTTGGCCTGATATGACAGAAACTCTATTCTTTTGTAAATGTCTTGTGACTGCTTATCTATACAAAACAATGTAATATTGCTTTCATTATTTTGACAACAGCAGTAGATTCTGAGAATGCCTATGCATCTCTCTGTAGATTGGGGTTATCATTAGTCACAGAGATCTGGAAGTCCCAAATGGGCTTTTTCACGAGGCAACTGGACTTTCTTTTTTCTCTTTGAGGGCGTTTCGCTTCTCATCCAAGAAGCTTCTACAGCTCTGACTGGATGGTGAGGAATGGAAGGATTTATACTCCTTGCTGACAGCTGGTCATTTATACTGCAAGGAGTATAAATTCTTCCATTCCCTACCATCCAGTCAGAGCTGAAGAAGCTTTTTGGATGAGAAGCAAAACGTCTTCAAAAAGAAAAAAGAAAATCCAGTTGCCTTGTGAAAAAGCACCTTTGGGACAAACCATGACCTGAATGACTGAGAAACTCCATAGACATTTAGTGACCTGGGAATGTATAGAGTATTTTATTATGTTTGAGTCCATTAAGTTATACAAACCCTTTTTACAGCTCCTTCATCAACATATTTCAGTTTACGGACTTCTCTTTTTATAGCCTTGCAAGACAACCATGGTGAGCAATTCTTCATAGTTCCTAATTTGAAGTTGCCATATGGACAGAAATTTTGCTCAACATTGGATTCTCCATTGGAAAAATATACATTGCCGAGGTATTGGTAGAGAAACAAGATCACAAGCAGCACAGTTAAAAGCAAAAAGAAGGGTAAAAAGATCAGCTTTTGCTTAATATCACTTTTTAAATCACAAGCCTTTTTTGTCCATGTTGTAACTATCATCTTTCATAATTTCTGAAAAATAAACAGTAACAAATTATTAATTGAACATAACAAACCAGCAAAAGGGGTGATGGTCAAGCTAAATATTTCAGAATATTTTTTATACTATCAGGATTTTATTTTTGTGCATAGCTGTGATCTCAAAAAAACCCCTAATATAGCAAGAAATATACATACAAAATGAGTTAATGTTAAGGTGATATAGTTACATTTATAAATCATGATCTATTGAAACAATTCTGCACACATGGGAAAAATATGCTTTAATCCAATTTATTCAAATGCTAAATACACATCTACATTCATCTGTTTCACTGATTGATATTAGATTCAATTAATATTTTCATTTAAAGAAACCAAATAATTTCAAATTATATTTGCTGAAGCAAAATATTCCATTGCCTTCTAGAGAACATGATGAAATGTATTAAGGGAACATATGTACACATCACTTGCGGAGCTACGAAAGGAAAGCAGATTTTGTTCATGACTTGGTTCTGCTCTTCAGTTACATAAGAACTTTACTGTACTCCTTATAGGTATCCTGATGAACAATAAAGCTTGTTTAACTATCAAATTCTATGAATCTCTGCTAGAAATCATTAATGAATGTTTTCATCATTGGTATTACCCTAATTCCAATATTTCAAGTTCTGCTGGCTTTAATGATTTCAGCAGGAAATATTTACTGTCAATAGTACTGTATACATGACTATTGACAAATAAGTCTAGCTGAATTCACCAAGGCTTTCAAATAAATTTTAAATATTTATAAATGTAAGCGTATAATGAAAACAAAAGAAATATAAATTCATGGAAGCCACATTCTTTTCTAATTGTTTTTTTTAATCTATTTCTCGGGGAGTTTTGCGTGTTTTCACTTCTTCTTAGAGATAGTTTTATATAGAAAAATGTAATGGAATATATTTCTACCGATATGCCTAAATTAATGTATAGAAATAGATAGGATCTGGAAAAACTGAGTAAAAAAGAATTAAAAATCTTTCTGGTTTGCAGCATCCAGAAATTCTAGGCAGAATGAAATAAACTATTATTCAATAGATTTGTCCTATTGTACTAGGCTTACCTGTTTCCTATCTTTACAGCTTATATATTGTTATCAATATCGGCATAATACAATCCCAGTATTCCCTGCTTTGAGCCACATGAGTTGTCCGTCGTTTGCGCATAGAGATAAAATAGGACAGAGTCACATATCCCCTTGCTTCAGTCTTTCAGATTCTGATTGAAATGTAAAGCCTTTCTGCACTGAAGTGAACAGATGAAACTTATTTCTATTTATTTCTTAACAAAAAAATTTGGAAAACTAAAAATATAGTTTGGTTGACTTTTACTACAGACGTGTGCATTAATACAACTTAGATCATTTTGGGACATTTAAATATTTTTAGATATATATTTGAATGGACAATATGTACATTGTATTACCATAGCTTCTCAGAGCATCCAAATAACAGTCCTTTACTGGCTAGTTCATGCTTTGTCTCTTTCCATCCATATCTAAAATCTTAAGATTTTTTGGACATTAAAAATGCAAAATAGAAATGCTTAACTAAAAAATGTACAATAAAGTGCATTCAGAAAGTATTCAAATCCCCTTCATATTTGTCAATATTGTTATGCTGCAGTCTGATCCTACAATTGTTGAAATTAATTTTTTTCATTAATCTATACTCAGTACCCCATAATGACAAATTGAAAATAGAATTTTAGAAATGTCTGTATATTTATTTAAAAGGAAAAAAACCTTAAATATCACATTGGCGTAAGTATTAAGGCTGTTCACTAGTACTTTGTTGAAGCACTTCTGACCACAGTTACAGCCTTGAGTCTTTTTGGGTATGACATAACAAACTTTGTACACCTAGATTGGGGAATATTCTGCATTCTTCCTTGCACATCCCCTCAAGTTCAGTCAGGTTGGATGGCGACCGTCGGTGGATCGCTATTTTCAGGTCCTCCAGAGATATTTAATAGGGTTCAAATAAGGGCTCTGACTGGGCTACTCTAGAACATTTACAGAGTTGTCCCTAAGCTACTCCTGTGTTGTCTTGACTGGTGCCTACGATCATTGTCAAGTTGGAAAATGAACCTTCAGCACAGTGTGAGGTCTTGAGCGCTGTGCAACAGGTTTTCATTGAGGATATCCCTGAACTTTGCTCCATTCAGCTTTCCCTCAACCCTGACCAGTCTCCCAGTCCCTGCTGCTGAAAATACCCCAAAGGATAATGCTGCCACCATGCTTCACTGTTGGGATGATATCAGGCAGGTGATGAGCGGTGCCTAGTTTCCTCCAGACATAATGTTTAGAATTGAAGCCAAACAGTTCAGTCTTGGTTTCATCAGACCAAAGAATCTTGTTCCTCACAATCTGAGAGTTCTTCAGGTGCTTTTTTGCAAATTCTAAGCAGGCTTTCATGTATTTTGCACTGAGAAGAGGCTTCTGTCTAGCCACTCTGCCGTAGAGCCCATATCATGGAGGGCTGCAGTGATAGTTGTCCTTCTGGAACTCTGTCCCATCTCCACACAGGATCTCTGGAACTCAGCCAGAGTGACCATTGAATTTTTGGTCACCTCTCTTATTAAGGCCCTTCTCCCCTGATTGCTCAGTTTGACTGGTTGATCAGCTCTTGGAAGAGTCTTGGTTGTACCAAACCTCCTCCATTTGAGAATTATGGAGGCCAGTGTGCTCTTAAGAACCTTCCCTGCAGCAGAAATTTTATTGTAGCCTTCCCCAGATCTGTGCCTTGCAATAATCCTGTCTCTGAGCTCTGTAGGCAGTTCCTTTGACCTCATGGCTTTTGCTCTGCTACAGTATGCATCGTCAGCTGTGAAACCTTCTATAGAGAGGTGTGTGCCTTTCCAAATCTTGTCCCAATTTAATTTACCACAGGTAGACTCCAATCAAGGTGTAGAAGCATGTCTGCCATGATCAAGAGAAATGGAGGGCACCAGAGCTAAATTTCAAGTATTGTTGCAAAGGGTCTGAATAATTATGACACTGTGATAATTCATTTTTCTTTTTAATAAATTTACAAACAATTCTAAAATTCTGTTTTCATTTTGTCATTATGGGGTACTGAGTGTAGATTAATGAGAAAAATAAATTTCAAATACTGTAGAATCAGGCTGCAGCATAACAAAATTGACAAAAGTGAAGGGGGTCTGAATAATTTCTGAATCCACTATACATTCTGTAGATCTTTGCTGCCTTTAACCTTCCACAATTCTTTCCCCATAATTCTAATGTGTTATGAAGTTTTATTTTCACTCCATTTTTATACTAAGATATGCCTCTGTCTATATTTTCCTGGGTATGTATAGAAGGAAGCAAAAAATGGTCATGAAAAAAATTATTCCTGAATGCTTGTATGACACTGCTACATGAAGCAATTTATAACTTCTCACAAACATTTGCTCTTTAGAGATATTTCTTTAGAGACATTTCTTTTATATATTATATTAACTCCTTTAGGTGATTTCAATAATAAATTTTATTGCTGCTACCAGCTTCTTTCATTATTACAAAGAAATCCAAATATCTATATTGTGATAGGATGTGTTCTTCAAAAGAATGCCAACTTTATGTCTTTTAAGTCATGCCAGAATTCCAACATTTGTGTGTGTGCGTGTGTGTTGATATACCTCTGACACGATTGCTAATAAAAGGAGTTGAAATATTATATTATGCTACTGTTTTCCTATTTGCCAGATATACTGGGCACATTTGGTCTGTTAAGGTCAGGACATGATAACTATCAAGAAAATGATCTGCTTGGGTCAACCACTATTTAAAATTTAATAAATTGAAATAATGACCAATCTAAAATATGGAATGAAAAACACTGTGGTTCAAACTGAGTTAGGAGAAAGAACCGTGCTGTAATTATACAAACTCTAAATTTAAGCATTATTACTTGTATCATTCCAATGAAAGTACAGTCATTGCTATAAATAACAGTATAGCAAAAGATGTCCTTGGTCCACCTATATGCTGTGGGATGTCACAACAAAAGTGTAATATACTAAAGTAAATAAATTTGTTAAATATTAATCGTTAAAAGTATTATAGGTTGTGAGTTTATTTTGTAAGTATCAAGCTGAAATGTATAATTAAAATTGTATTGGAAATGTATTCTCTAGACTAGAGCAGTGTTTCTCAATCTTTGATATGCGAAGACTTCAACTCCCAGAATTCCTCACCCAGCATGAAGTTGAAGTCCTCGCAACTTAACTGCTCAGAAATTAGAAATTTATCAGAAATGACCGCAGTGATTTAGAACAGACATCAGAAGGAGCAGAAGTATTTAAAATTGACAAATGGCAAAGCCTAAAGCCGCGTGAATGAAAAAGAAAAAAAGTTTGGTCACTCGAGCCCCGCTTTCACGATCTTTGCTGCTCTCTTCAATGGTCAAGACCACCTTACTCTACACAACTGCAGCGATTATCCAATAGCAGCACCGGTCGCTGTTTCATTCCCAAATATCGCGGAGCGCGCGCGCGCGCGCGCGAGGTGGGGGGGGGGGAAGAAACAGAGAGCAGGAAGCGGCCTCCTCCTCCTTCTGGCAGAGCGGCGCACTCCTCTGCTTTCGAGCAAAAGAGGAATAGAGGCAGCGAGTATGGTGGCGTTGGATTGCCGGGGCCGCTCGGCTGCCTATCTCGGGGGGGCCCTTATCGCGCTCCTTTTGTCGGGCTTAGCTCAGCCCCACGGTAAGCTTTGTCTTCCCCGCCGCAATATCTCCTCTCGTACCTTGTAAGCGCTGCCTCCTTCGGTCCTTCGCAGGTCTAGCAGGAGCTTTTTACAGGCGCAGCAGAATTCCCTTTGCTTTCTGTTTTGCCCAGTGAAAAGAGGCTCGACTCCAGAAGAGCTCCCTCAGCGGTGGGAGTCGACAGTCAGTTGGGGAGGAGGGAGAGAAGGAAAGGAAGGAAGGAAGGCCGCTTCGCTTTTAGCGAATGGCTTCATCTTACCTTGTTTTAACGGCGCAGTTGCTTGCAGTTTACTGTATTATTTTCTCTCTCTGAAGACATTAGGAGGTGCTTAGAAACAATAATCAAAAACTAAACATGCACTTAAATCCAGTGCCTAAGATAAAAAAAAGCTGTGGATCAGTTCTTCACAATTCATCTGGTCAGGAGGGATCTTGTTGGCTCTGTCGTATTTACTCTAGTCTCCAGCTTTTGGCTAGTGATCATACTTGATGTCCTACCTGTCCCTAAATCACAGCTTGCTTCTCTGTCCGAATTAAGTTACCAATTTTGCAAATGCTAAAAAATTAGGGATATCAAAACAGACATCCAATAGCACTTTGACTCCACCTTGTGGTTGTGTATATTATCTAATGTGACCAGATGGGTCATTCCTATCAACTATTTGCTCACTTATTTCGTTTTCTACTTCTGCTTTCAGTCAGCTATGGTATTCCTGATATATAAATCTAAATTGCAAATGAGAAAATTGTGCTTTTATATGTGAATTTATCTTCAGTTTAACAAGGAAACATTTTTCTCAAAAATATTCTTCAGCAATAAGGGCTTTCCTCTTAATTTTTTATTTTCAAAAATAATAAATTATTCATTATTTATTAATCTTAAAATAAAATTAATTCCAGGCTTAGAAAAGTATTTTAAGGAGAGGATACGAAGGATATGGAATAGCTTTCTGTTACATCTGTTACAATTTTCTGGAGGTTAGTTAAGACAAAACCTTTGGAGAGTGTGTAGCAGTTGGTATGTTATTTGCTATCTTGGTTAATAATGGATACATCAGTATTATTATTAGGCGATTTTATTATATTGGTTAATTATGTTATCGTTATATAATGCAATATTCAGCTATGTTGGTAAGGTTATTTGGTATAAAGAACATATAGTAATCACATTATATTGCTGGTTATGTTTTCCTTTCTGAAATGTTTTTTGAGATCTCAAAGTACACAAGACAAAAAGAGACAAATCCAGGATTCTCAATTTTTCCAAACCAGCCAGACAAAAATATCCAATTCTGTTTTTTTAAATACATAAATATTAAATCACCTTCATTTTTAATTCTAGATATATCCAGACGGCCTCTGTGGAACTTGAAAATGGATCAAGCTTTATTACGAATTCATAATGAGTTGCTCATTGACAACTTGTCCATTTATTGGGTCTCAGATTATTGTTATGAGGTAATTAAAATCTTAAGGGGAGGGGAAAGTCCTATAATCAAAATACCTGTAAAATGATTCAAATTGGATAAAATGCTTCATCTGAGTCAAACTGCAATTCATACTTGTAAACCATGATTCGTGTTTGAACTGAGTGACAGTTATGGAAGAAAACTGGTCTAATCAGAAGCAAATATAATCAGCTAGCCTAATGAAATACATTTTATTTTAGATACTAGAATTCTGAATATATAAAATCAAGGTAATTTTAAAATCTTAGAATATAATTGTATAGCTTCACCCAGAACTATTTCTTTTAGAATAAATTACATTGTTTATTCTAGATCCAGTAACCCTTCTATTTGTTTTTAATTTTAAAGATAAGAATATTGGTTCACCTATAGCAAGGCAAATCAATTTGTAATTTTTCCTCATTTTTTAGTGTTTGCAACAGGAGCTGATTTCTATCCAGATGAACAGAACATCCAAAGAAGCTCACATTGTAGCTATTGATACTCAGCATGCCCTCACGCTGATGGTCAATCGTTTTAAAGAAGGAAAAGAACTGTGCAGGTTAGTCCTTTTAAGATGTGTAACTTCTGCTATGTGGTTATCTCTTAGAGAAATCACAGAAGTATTGTAAGTAATTTATTTAGGTAATTTATCCAAAAAGGGACTGAAATGTCTATTTAGATACATTATTTAATTTTATACTAAAACATTAATGTTATGTAAACAAAATTCAACAGGCAGCAGTAGTTGCTGGCTCTATAACATATCCAAACATCCAAAAAATTATATTAGAGATGGTAGGATAAACGGTTCAAAGATAAAAATCACTAAATCTCTGCAAATGAAATGATAAGTATAATACAAGGAAAATGAACCTATTGAGAATTGTTGAGATTTGCATATATTCCATAAGCATACATATCAATAAGAAAATATACAAGTGTATTCATAGTGCTTAAAGCTCTCTGATTCTTTAGTGCTTATAAAATGCTCAAGTATGTTGGAGTCTCCCAGCTTGGTGAGCAGTAATAGCATTTTCTGTGAGACATATGAAACCTCTTCCTTAAGAATTTTGATAACCTCATGTATCAAATATTAACACATCTGGAAAACTTGGATGACTTTAAGGTTATGTTTAATGGAGTTGTTTATATTTAGTTCTTTTAAACTTTTAAGGGCACTAACTCTGTTCATATGTTGTCAAAATTGTTCTAACTTGATCTAATTTCACAAATATTTTTTTCTCTTTTCTGTCTCTAGGATTCATTATCATTTTGGAGAATATGGAAACTATTCCTTAAGAATTAGGCGTCTCCAGAGCAATATCACAAACGTTACATGTGATATAATTATCAATCAAAATCATATCAACAGCTATCTCCGTATGTTACTTTAAACTTTTATAACTTGTTTGTTATAATGTTTGCCTTAATTCATTTAGAAAAATGACTAATGTATAGTCATGTTTGGCTTAACTATTTCTATTTAAGTGTGCTATCCCATCTCAGTTCACCTATATCCTATGAACAAGAAGAACCTAAAACTTGCAGAGTGGAAATCTGCTAACTAACTCTGAGGTCACTTTTGGACATTTCAGCCTCTTTTCTCCCATACTTGATAATATTATAAATAACTTACAGGCTTCAACAATGGGTCAGCTGTAGCATTATATTCAGCTATGATGAGTACAAGGTTCTGCATTGGACAGGAAAAATTAGACAAAACATGGGGAGACATGATTTGGCATGAAAAGAATGTAGGACACCAGATGAGCATTAGCTGAATTAGTGGAAGCATTCCATCCAGGTTATGGGAGGTAATGGTTTTATTATGTTCTGTGCTGATAAGGCCACTCTTGAAACACTGTGTCTATTTCTGGGCACTCCATTTTAAAAGGAAGAATATGGAATATGTTTGGTAGTTATTCTCTGTTGAATATGTTTGGTAGTTATTCTCTGTTTTTCTCCAACAAGAAAAACTAATAGGTTGAAATTAAAGAATTTACCTGAATATTAGGGAGAATTTTCTAAGAATTAAGCAATAGTCTTAGTCTGCCTAAAACGGTGGTAAGCTATCCTAAGAGCCATGGTGGTGCAAAGATTAGAATGGAGTATCGCAGGCTGACTCTGCTCACTACACAGGAGTTTGATCCTGAATGGCTTAAGGTTGACTCAGCCTTTCAAAGTTACAATGGAAAAGGTGAGTTACAGCCATTTTTCTCACTTAACAACTGCTACAGCATCCCCATGGTCTCATGATCAAAATTCACATTTTTCAGAGGCAATTGAATCATATTTTTGATGGTTTCAGTGTCCCGAGGTCACCTTTAGCAAAGTCAGTGAGGAAGCCAGATTCACTTAACAGCTGTGTTACTAACTTAACAACTGCAGCGATTCACTTAACAACTGGGCAAAAAAGGTTTAAAATGGGGCAAAACTCACTTAACTGTCTTGCTTATCAATGGATATTTTAGGCTTACTTGTGGTCATAAGTTGAGGACCACCTGTATCAACACCAACTGCTACAGGCCTCAGAAAAAGGACAACTACTGCAACACGATGGCTTCTAATCCCAGCCTCTTGAGTCAGTCCAGAAGGATGCCATGATTGATGGTATCAAAACCCACTGAGAGATCAAAGAAAGCCAGATGGATGAACTACCCCATCCCACACCCACGAAAGGTGATCAAAGGCATGATTAGTGCCACCTTCCATAAAAAGGGGAAGTTGGAAACTGGTTGAAATTGTCCAGTGTGGGCTTCTTGAGGAGAGGACAGACAACTACCTCTTTGAAACAAATGGAGCCACCTTCTCCCATAAGAAAATATTAACCTTATGTGGATCTAAAACACAGGTAGAGGAACTCACAAATTCAAGGACTTTATCCACTTCATCATAATTAACAGGTTCAAATTCTTCTCAGATTATCACTCAAGACCATGCCTCAGGGAGTGCCATGGAACCTGTACAGCTAGAGTCTAACCCCAAGTGAATCTGAACAACTTTATCCTACAGTTTCCTAGGATAATCTTCTCTCTGTCATGTAAGATAATAATAATAATAATAATAATAATAATAATAATAATAATAATAATAATAATAATAATAAAGTTGGAAGGGACCTTGGAGGTCATCTAGTCCAACCCCCTGCTCAGGCAGGAAACCCTATACCATTTCGGACAAATGGCTGTCCATTTTCTTCTTAAAAACTTCCAGTGTTGGCGCATTCACCACTTCTGGAGGCAGGTTGTTCCACTGGTTAATTGTTCTAACTGTCAGGAAGTTTCTCCTTAGTTCTAGGTTGCTTCTCTCCTTGCTTAGTTTCCATCCGTTGCTTCTTGTTCTGCCTTCAGGTACAGGAAAATAGCTTGACTCCCTCTTCTTTGTGGCAGCCCCTGAGATATTGGAACACTGCTATCATGTCATCCCTCGTCCTTCTCTTTGTTAAACTAGACATACCCAATTCCAGCAACCGTTCCTTATATGTTTTAGCCTCCAGTCCCCTAATCATCTTTGTTGCTCTTCTCTGTACTCTTTCTAGAGTCTCAACATCTTTTTTACATCGTGGTGACCAAAACTGGATGCAGTATTCCAAGTGTGGCCTTACCAAGGCATTGTAAAGTGGNCTTGATTCTATCCCTCTGTTAATGCAGCCTAGCACTGTGTTGGCTTTTTTGGCAGCTGCAGCACACTGCTGGCTCATATTTAAATGATTGTCCACTAGGACTCCGAGATCCCTCTCACAGTTACTACTATTGAGCAAGGTACCCCCTATACTATACCTGTACATTTGGTTTTTCTTGCCTAAATGTAGAACCTTACTTTGTTCACCATTGAATTTCATTTTGTTAGATAGCGCCCAGTGTTCAAGTCTGTCCAGATCCTTCTGTATCTTAAGCCTATCTTCTAGAGTGTTGGCTATTCCTGGCAGCTTGGTGTCGTCTGCAAATTTGATGAGTTCCCCGTCTATCCTCTCGTCCAGATCGTTGATGAAGATGTTGAAGAGCACTGGGCCCAGAACAGAGCCCTGGGGCACCCCACTACACACTTCCCTCCATGTAGATGCGGTTCCATTGAGGACCACACGCTGAGTACGGGCGGTCAGCCAGCTACAGATCCATCTGGTGGTGATGCTGTCTAACCCGCATTTTTCTATCTTATCAAGTAGTAGGTTGTGATCTACTTTGTCAAATGCCTTACTGAAGTCCAAGTAAATTATATCCACAGCATTCCTCTGGTCCACTAATTTTGTCACTTGATCAAAGAATGCAATAAGATTTGTCTGGCATGATCTGTTTTTGACAAACCTGTGTTGGCTTTTAGTAATTATTTTGTTTGCCTGTAGGTGTTTGCTGATTCGTTGTTTGATTATCTTTTCCAGAATCTTCCCAGGTATTGAGGTCAGGCTGATAGGTCTGTAATTTCCTGGGTCCTTTTTTTTTCCTTTTTTGAAGATGGGAACTACATCAGCTCTTTTCCAGTCCTCTGGTTGTTCCCCAGTGCTCCAGGATCTTTGAAAAATATAGTTCAGTGGTTCTGAGATCACATCTGCCAGTTCCTTGAGAATCTTGGGGTGCAATCCATCTGGTCCTGGTGATTTGAACTCGTCTAGGCTGAACAGGTGTTCACTTACCATTTTCTTGCCTATCTTAACTTGTATTTCTATTTGTTTTTTATGGCACTATTTTTGATAGGTTGGTCTATTTTTTCCCTTTGTGTAAAGACAGATGCGAAAAACGAGTTAAATAGTTCTGCTTTCTCCCTGTTGATTGTCACCTTCTTGCCACTTTCACGCACTAATGGATCAATTGTTTCCTTCACTTTTTTCTTGTTTTTTACATGTTGAAAGAAGCTTTTTTTGTTATTTTTGACTTTGGTTGCAAGCCTTAGTTCATTTTGAGCCTTAGCTTTCCTCACTTCGTCTTTGCAGGCTTGGGCTATTTGCTGATATTCTGAGTTAGTCATGTGTCCCTCTTTCCACTTTCTATACTTGTCCTTTTTATCTTTCAATTTGTCAGAGAGTTCTTTATGCAGCCATGCTGGTTTCATTTGAAGATGGGATTGAAATTGATTGCAGCAACAATTCAGTTTAAGTTTAAGATAGGACTTCATAACTGAGATTATATAACAGCCACAAGCATTTTCTTGTGTATTATAAAGAATGACTACAGTATATGAATATATTCAAGTCTCTTGTATATTACTTATATGACAGAGTCTATGTATTTCATAGTTGCGGAAAACCAAGGGCAGTATTCATTTTTTTATTTTTTATTTTTGGATTTCTGTGTTCCTTTTCTCTTGAACATTTCAGTCAAGCTAATTGGCAATTCCTTGATCTTTTATTAACATGAAGTTCTAGCAATTTGGATTATGTATCTCCTGTTTTTCTTCATCCAACCAACCTGTATCTGATACCAAGTAATATTTTTAGGATTTGAGTAATTTCTATAGATTTCAATTCTTAAGGATTGTTTCTTTATTAAAAATATGTCAGTTTCTTATGGCCATAACCCATAACTCAGCTTCTTCAGTCATCAGAATTAATAAAGATTGTTGATCTATTTTCTGGATGTCTGTAGAGCTTCTCAGTCATCCAGGTCAAAGGTGCTTTTTCAAAAGGCTTTCAAGAAAAAACAAAGGAAGTCTAATTGCCTTTTGAAAAAGCACCATTTGGACAAGATGCATTTTCTGATGCAACAACTTTTTAAAAAAATATATAAAATGTGCAACTAGTTCGCAGTTCTAAAAACAGAAATGTTGTCTAAAATTCAGATAATGCTGAAGTATGTCAACTAAAAGAGGCTGATCAAGAATCTCTGATTGCAATAATATAAAAATGTGAAGCAGAACTGGGGAGTGGTACAGTAGCCATTGAGAAAGGGAATGTTGGGATTAAACTTTGCATGAACCAGTACTGATCCTTAATCTTCTGTTGATTAAAAGAAAGGAAAGGTTGAAGCAAAATCGTAAGAACAGCTCTGGTTACATGATTTTTCAATTAGTGGATGCTTCATTTAATTACTGAGTTGCCAATTTCAATTGTAGTTGCTGAATGAGGACTATCTGTAATTAGCTGAGCTCTCTGGATTTTTATTTCCTTCCCATATCTGAAAGATTTAATATTGCATGTCTCGGGAACATGTCTAGTATAGGTTGGACGAATGTTCTCAAGGTTTTCATCACCTCTCTCAGTTCAGTCTTTATACTGAGTTCTCTCTCATTACATAATAGAGGAGAGTACAAGTACTTAGAAAGTTTAAATAACTCAAGCTTTCCTATCACCATGTTTTTTTTTCCTAAATAGAATTTGTCTTTACTCTTCTTTCATGCAAGCTCTAGCCTTAAGAATATTGATGAAAGTTTTATTTCTGACTTTAGCATTTTCCTTTCCACATGTTCTGTATAAAGATATCTGTTTTACAGCAAGAAATGTGACTTCTTAATAAATGTGAACTCCAAATCTGTTCAAGAAATATAAAAAGAAATGTTATAATAGCACATACTATCTTCTTAATTTACAGGCATATCTTATATCAATTTACTCTTTTTCCATTATTGGTATTTCAGCTGCTTCCCCCACTCTCCTTAGTTATTCTTGAGGCTCATGATTTCAGCGGGACATTTCCATTCCTGTTGCTGCAATATCTTTGACGATTTCTTTCTGGCAGCTGTCAAAGCACATTAGCAAGAAATGTAGTTATGTAGGCTATTTTTAGGGTATTGTATGGATGCCACATAATCTTTTTTATTATATTTGAACCTATCTCATCTTACGTAGTATTTAATCTTAATATTTTAATATGTTACACTTTGCTATGGTATAACATCTAATCATTTTTTCCTAGCTATTTCTTTTCCAGGAAGCCTTGGAAATAAACTAAAGCAATTTCAATTATAATCCTGATAAATATAAATGGACTTTTTTTTTTAAAAAAAAAAGTATGAAAACAATTGTTTTAGAATATATAATATTGTGTTTTCTTTTATGCAGCTATTTTATTTGCATTTCTCATCTACATGGCTATTTTCATTATTCTGATGATTGGACAGATTTGCATAAAGTAAGTAAATATTTTAAAATGAGAATGAATTGGATGTAAACATTATTTTTTCATATTTGCATGTTAAAGTCAGTTTAACCATTGAACAACAGGGCAGTATATTAAGATTTTTCCTAGAAATCTTTCTGAAAATGTATGCATTTTGGAGAAGTATTTTCTTTGTTTATTAAGGAAAGAGCCTTCAGGGGGATTTTCTTTCTCCACTTATAACTTCATCAGTCGGCTCCCAGAGTTGCTTGTTTTGAGAGAAAAGTATTTCAATAGCTTCAAAGTGCTTGATTGTGACAATGGATGATGATGGTTTTAGAAGAACATTTGTGGTACTCAAGACGAAAGTTGATTTTCTAAATTTCTGTTTTATAGCACTGAACAAGTCAGAAATTGGTTCTTCAAAAAGATGGATCCTAGAGAAACTGATCGACTTATTAATTCAGTAAGATCTTTAATAGTGGGATCATATAAATTATTTTTTAGAGTTCACTGCTGTTTTCTGACACAAATAAGTCATGAAAGCTTAACTATATGGGCTGATAATTGGATTTTTCTCTACAAATAAATTGTCTTCTAATGTGTCCAGTCGTGCATGTTGACCATAAAGCCTGAGAGCTTTATTATCATGAAATAACTGTAAAAACCATCACAGGTAAACCTCAATTTGAAGGTAACCTAGCATCACTGCACCTGAGTTGCTTTTCATGTAAATGCTTCAGACACTAGTTCTTCTATGATTTTTTGCTTAACAAGAGATAAAAGTCAATCTGAGTTTAGTAAAACGTATACTTGTATAAATATCATTGTTTCAGCCTAAATATGTTGAGTAATTATTGTTAATATGATATTAGTACTGACCTCTGTTTAGTTAAACAACAGAAGAATGCTATACTTATTCGTTGTTCTGCTCTAGAATGAGGCCAAATATAATTACAAGAGTACCAGATATGTCTGTGAATTCCTTTTGTAATCTTAATTACCAATTAGTACAGTGGTGAATGTACAGAATTAGCCCAAGTTGTTGGTGTTAATGAGCTCATTTGGACATTTAAGAATATAGGAAACACTCTTACCACATAGTTGCTGTGGAGGGCATGACTAAATACCATAATAAAATATCTATTTCTGAGATGGCAAATTATTAAGCAAAACGAAAGCAAATTGATGAGTCTTAAAAACCAATTAACTTGTCCCCTAGTCTTTCAAGAGCTTAGTTTTGAACCCCTCAATACCAAACTATATATTTTTCCACAGACAGCCTAACATAGTATTTTATTTTATTTACAGTCAATGACCAGCAATAATATTAAAACATCACATAGAAGCAGACTCATATACAATAAAAGCAATACAGTAAAACATGTCAAGCACCAGGGATCTGTTGTGGACACACAGGGACTTATGACTGATGACGTGTTTGACCCCTCCTTTGGGCTCAACCCTGGTCATCTCCTACAAAACTGTTAACAAGACCTGCTGATTAAAATGTACATATATGAGAAGTAAACAAAACAAGGCAAAACAAAATAGATAAAAATATAAAATTAAGGTAAAAGAATGAAAGAACTTCTTCATGATATAATTTCCAGGATTAGGACGCTTAAGCAAGAGTTATGTTCTATCAAGAGTAAGAACATAAAAATGAATCAAAAAGATGGCTGTGCAATGTGCTGAACAAACCAGATTTAATAGGCAATTTGCAAGTCTGAAAGGCTGCCAAGAAGGAAAGCTGGCTAAAAAGACTGCAATAATTCAATTGGCTACATTTTTTTACTTTCTATCTTGACATAAAGTCATCAAGGAGAAGCTTGAGCCAATAAGAGAGACAGCAAATAATGGCTCTCATCTCCAATGGAATCATTTCTCTTTCCATGTGAATTAGATTTGGAAGACAACATGGAACCTTGAAGAGTACTTGCAAAAGTTTAGATTGAACAGCATCCAGAGGCTTTAGGGGCATGTTTCTGTGCATTTGGGATATAGATTCAACTTTCAACAATATAATGCCAGGAAGTGTGCACCCACTTTGCTTAGAGTGAAAAAAAAAAAAAAAAGATTGCCTTGATGCTGTTAATGGCTATGGCAGGGATGACTCTTTCAGAGGCTTGAAAATCACTACAGGTCATTTAAAAGCTAGAATTTGATCTATTTTGTAAGTTCCTGTTTGCCATTGGGGTGTGTGGCAACTAGATCTTTCCAGGAAAACTTTAATTTTATTCTTCGGTTAATTGTAAGTACTCGTTTTAACAAAAGACTGAGTCAAAATATCTACTGTGCCATTATTTATAGTCATACCAATGCTAGAAATGCTTTGGTAAACAGTATATTCATACTGAAATGTATACTAAAAAGACCAGATAAAATATCCAGAATATTTAAATATAAAACAATTCAGTTGAAAAATCATATACCTAATTGAGGGAGAGGGGAAAAATAGGCATTTAGCATCTATTTATAAGCCATTTAAAAATGGCAAAATACACAGATGCACAAACAAAACATCATTCTCACTATTCTTTATGTTCTTTGACTCATTAGAAGACTGCCTAACATCCACCAGACTGCATTTTTCTTTCTTTCTGCATTTCTGCCTAACATCCACCAGATTGCATTTTCTTTCAAAACATTCCTTTTCAATGCATCTGTTATTAAATGAAATAATACTAATACTAATAATACTAATAATAATAATAATAAGCGCCTTGGGTGCAATCCCAAAACAACTGGAGCACCACTTGAACACCATTGGCATTGACAAATTTGCCATTAGTCAATTGCAAAAGGCAGCCTTATTAGGAACCGCCTATTCTGTCCCAGCCTACGTCTGTCCTTGTTGCGTCACAAGAACTAACCCCTCTTTAACAGTAGGCTGGAAAAACCAACCTCTTTTTATTTCCAAAACAGTCCTGATAAGTTTTTCTCCAAAACAAAAACAGAGAATACTTTCCCAACAGATAATTGGTTACAAAAGCAAACAGAGCAAGAGGTAAACAAGAAATTCACTGGTAAAACAAACAGACCATGATCCCTGGAAGTTCTTTACAAACGGTTGCCTTCAACAACCAGCACCGCTCACACCTTTCCTTTTTATAAAGCAGTCCCAAGGCGTGGCTTCTCAATGCCTTCTCCTCCTCCCCTGGAGTTGTCATATTGACTGGTGCTGACCTGCTCTAGATCAGGGCTTTTCAACCTTTTCACCCATTGTACCACTTTTAGGATATGGCAATAGCTAAGTACCACCAGTCGCCTAGCAAGGTGTCAAAAACTTGATGACCCCCCCCAAAAGAAAAAAAGTGATGAAGTACAGGTAGTCCTCGACTTACAACAGTTCACTTAGTGACTGTTCGAAGTTACAATGGCACTGAAAAAAGTGCCCCCCAAGCCACAGCAGAGCAAGACAGCTGCCTGCCCACTTGGCGGCGCTCTTCCTCCTGTCCGAGGTTTTCATTGTTGTGAGCATTTCTGTTGAGGATTGGCAGCAGGGGTAGGGTGGGGGGTGTTTGGTTTTTATTCCTCCCATCTGCTGGGTAGCTGCAGCAGGTTTTGGTTACTTCACATGACCCTGGGACACTGTGACTGTCATAAATATGAATCAGTTGCCAAGCATCTGAATGTAAATAACAAGACCCTGGAGATGCTGCAACATTCCAGTTGATCGGCGCTTCTGGGCTCAGAAGCGCCAGGATCAGCGCCGAGCTCTAGCTGGAGCCTGGCGCTGATCTTGGCGCTTCCACTGAGCCCTGACAGCCCTGCAGCTCCAGCCATCTCTCGCTCAGGCTTGTGCGGTGCTGCCACCGGTTCAGCTCATTCCCATCCCCCACTACCACATTTCTAGGATAGTCACGTACCACCTGCCAGGTGCCAATGTACCACAGGTGGTACCCGTACCACTGGTTGAAAATCCTTGCTCTAGATAATTGCCTGCGTCTACGAGCATCAATCATGTCTATCAGCTGTGAATCCTCCAAGTCTGACTCATCCTCCCCACAAAGCTGAGTTTCATCCAGAACACAATTAGAGGGACCAGGCTCTTCATCAGATTGTGAGTCTTGTAATTCATCAAAGCCTCTCTCTGACTCTGATGGCTCTCCAAATGCCTCCTCCACCTCCTCCTCAGATTCCCCGGACTCAGCTGTTGGGAACACAGACTGGCACGGAATCACGACACTGCCTCCATCCTGCGATGATATCTGTAATACCATCAAACATCCACATATGCCTATCCCAGGTCCTTGGTAAGGACTCCTCGATAGGTAGACAAAAATGCCAAATCCAGTCTGAACATCTGGCTGACTGCGATGATTAATAATAACAACAACCCCCAGTGAGGCACTACCTTGACGTGGTTATGGGGCTTGTGTACTCTGAGGAAGATGAGAGCTATGCCAGAGGTTCAACCATACTGGACAGGTCTCATCAGAGGAGTCAGACAAAGAGTGTCTCTCCCATAAAAAATATGGTGAGACGTAAATTTCAGAATGCCATACCGGCTCAGATGTCGCCCAGGTTAACAAGGTCCGCACTAGATGTTGGAGTTCCTGGATATCTGGTGAAAAATGGGTTACAGGACTCAGGACTGTTGGCTGAGCAGCCAGGGCCAGCAGCTGCAGAACTACTGGAAGAAAAGGTGTTTACCCGTCACAAATACACAGTGATTGAAAACAAAGAAATAATGATCTGTTATTACAGATCAAGTCCAACAAGAAGAGGATATCTAAAACGAATGCACCAGTTCTGGAAAGAGCAACATCCAGAATCAGAAATAACAGAACAGAGACTAGCAGATCAACGCCGATTTATAATACGAAATAAAGTAAATTGGACGAACTGCAAAGGTTTACCCAGGGCAAAGAAATCAAAGCCTTGTCAGAAGTAATTCAGAATGTAGAGCAAACCAGGCGGAGTTGTCAGTGAAGGAATCCAGCAGAGATATACAACTGTTCTCATTTGGAAACCAGGCACCTCTTCCTCAGGAAGAACAAAGCCCTCTAACTAAAGAAATAAACGAATTGAAACAAAGAATAACTGAGCATCTAGAACAGCACAAAAACAACAGAATAAGGCTGCCTGCATTGAAGCTTGTTCCAAAGAAACAGCTAGCACAAGCATTAAAAGATGCAAATACTGCAATATCAAGTATAAGCACCAATTCACTGCAAGAAACAAACCAACTAATGTACAGCACAGCTGCAGTTATAACTGAATATTTGGGATGCAAAATCAACAAAGAAGAAAAACAAACAAACAATGCACCATAAAAATGGAAGGTTAGGCTAGAAAATAAGATCAGCAAATTAAGATCACATGCAAGCAAGCTAGAACAGATGAAAGAAAAGAAGCTGAAGAACGAGAAGACCAAAGAATACCTAATCAAGAAATACTACTTAGAAACAAGGAAGATCAAGGAAGCACTGGAAATAATAAAGCAGCAAATAATAGCTA